AATAAATAAAAATAATAAAATTTTTAAAAAAGAAAGAAAAAATAAAATGTTTAAATAAAATGAAAAGAAGTTCAAGGGCATTCTCAGCTACACAGAGTTCAAGGCCCGCCTCATCTATATGAGACCCTGTCTCCAAAGGAAAAAAAATTAATTTCTAGTCTAGAATAATCAGTTAGTAGGCTGTTTGCCTGGCATACATGATGCCCTGGGTTTGATTCCCACCAGTGGTGGCATATCCCTGTAATCCCACAACTAGGAGGTAAAGCAGGAAGATCAGGAATTCCAGACTATTCTCAGCTACATAGTGATTTCAAGGTCAGCTGGGACTACAGAGCTCTTTTTGTTTTGAGAATTTCATACTTTCATACATATATTTGCATTACTCCCACCCCTCTGCCTTCTCCCATCCCCCGTCACAATCTCTTGTGCTCTTCTTTCATTATTATTGTTATATATGCACACACATTTTATAAATATACATACATAGAATGCACTAGGTCCATTCCATTTAGTTGTTTACATGTATTTAGAGAGTCTTCTTCTTTTTTTTTAGACAGAATCTCCCTGTAGCCCCAGCTGGCCTGGAACTCACTATGGGACCAAGCTGGCCTTAATTCCACAGGGATCTGCCTGACTCTGCCACCATACCTGGTTTGGAGATGCTTTTCTTTTTGAGACAGGGTCTCCCTATAGCCCCAGCTGTCCTGGAACTCACTATGTAGACCAGGCTGGCCTTTTCGCCTGCCTCTGCCTCCCAAGTGCAGGTTTAAAGGTGTGCGCCACCACACCCGGCCAAGAGATGCTTTTTTAAAAAACAAAAACAAGGGTTAGTCTGGAGAGATGGCTCAGAGGTTAAGAGCACTGGCTGTTCTTTCAAAGGACCAGAGTTCAGTTCCCAGCACCCACGTGGCAGCTAATAACTATCCATAACTCCAGGTCCAGGATCTGACACCATCTTCTAGCCTCTGTGCACTTACATACATAAAATGCAGGCAAAACAGTCACATAAAATAAAAATAAAAAATCAAAAACAAGGGTCAGGTGTGGTGGCACTTGCCTTTAAACCCAGCACCTGGGAAAAAGAAGCAGGAGGATCTCTGTGATTTTGAGGCCAGCCTAATCCACATAGTGAGTTCTAGGCCAGCCAGGGTTATTTAGTGAGACATTGTCTAATAACAACAATAACAAACAAACAGCAACAACAACAAAAATAAATAAACAGTACTCAAAAACAAGTAGCTTAAGCACTTGGGAAGTAGAAGCAGGCAAATCTCTACGAGATCAAGACCAGCCTGGTCTACAGAGCAAGTCAGTAAGTTTTAGACCAGTGGTGGCTATAGGGAGACCCTGTCTCAAAACAACAAAAAAGAACCAACCAAACAAACAAAAAAACCTACTGGTTTAAAGGTGACACCAGCGCATCCTTTAAAAGTTCAGGCCAACTGGGACTGGAGACGGGTCAATGGTTAAGAGCACTTACTGCTCTTGCAGAGAACCAAGTTCCCACATCTGGCAGCTCACAACTGCCTATAACTCAAGTTTGAGGGGATCCAACACCTTCTTCTGGACTCTGTGGGCACCTGCACTCACATGCACAGACTCACACACAGATACACATAATTTTAAAATAATGAAAATATTTTTTTTTAAAAGTTCATGCTAATGGCTTGGCTGCAGTTAATTTCACTGTTAAGGGAACTGGTGGGAGCTGATCCCAGAACATTTAACTCTTGTATATTTCTTTTCTTCTTATTAATTTTTTTCTTGGTCCTTTTTTTTTTTTTTTTTTTTTGAGACAGGGTCTCCCTGTAGCCACAGCTAACCTAAAACTTACTATGAAGACCAGGGTATCCTCTATCTCACAGAGATCCACCTGCTTCTGCCTCCCTAGCGCTGGGATTGATGGCGTGCACCACCACACCCAGCTCTAATTTTTAAAATTATTTTTATTTATGTGTATATGCCATGTATGTTGTTGTCCTTGGAAGCCAGAAGCAGGAGTTGGATCCCTTCTAACTGGAGTTCAAGTGGTTGTGAGTCACCCAACATGGGTATTGAGAACAGAACTCGGGTCCTTTGTAAGAGCAGTGTATTCATTACTTTTTGTTGCTGCTATAAAATATGACCAAAGCAACTTACAGAAGGAAGAGTTTAATTGGTTTTATGGTTCCAGAGAGAGAGCCCATAATGGCAAAAGAGACATGGCAGCAGGCTGGTGGAGCAGGAAGCTGAAAGATCACATTTCTACCTGCACACAGGAAGCAAAGAGAGCAAACTGGCAGTGGGGCAAGGCTGTAAATTCTCAAAGCCCACCCGCTAGTGACATACTTCCTCCAGCAAGGCTGCACCTCCCATTAACTCCCAAACAGTGCCACCAACTGGGGACCAAGTGTTCAAATACCTCACCTATTGGGGGA